CATAAGATTTACATAGCTTTGATCAAACGTAGGCGTTGACAAAAATGACTTTCTGAAATGGCATACCGATAATATTCCACATTTCTGTAGTCCTACGTAAGACTACTTCACTATTTCAACTAATGGGCAAAATATACAAATATGTCATTAAACACATGGGCACATAGATACAATATACAGATACATTATTAAATAGGTCTTAACTCTACATTCAAAATTATAAATTGCATTTTGAGGCCTTTCTGTTGCTATATTGCGTATTCCAATAGAAACTATAGTCATTTATCTTCTTGCCGCTCAAGCTATTCAAAGCAATTAGAATTTCAGCTTCATGCAACTGGGCAGAGTAAATACATTCAAGTCAATACATTTTGCAAAGTTAACCGTTACTCAGCACCTCTAAGCCTTTGTCGCGGTGTCATTTTGTCCATCAAATGCTGTTAGTAGCTAATGGGTAATCGAAAGTGAGGTTAAGGGCGACAGATAATATGGTGTCCACTGTACCTTTTCACAGCTTTGTGATTTACTAAACACGTTCATAATAGACGGCAAACTCTTCAGCATTCATCACCTCAAAATTGTATTAAAAATTTCTGTTGCAAGTGTTTAAGATCAGCACAACTATATGGTATCAGTGTACCGTTAACAAATGGCACTACCTACAAAGCAAACTCTTAACTTCGTCTGAATGTACTCGTCTCATAGACAGTAGCATATATCCTAAAACTAAGGTAAACAGCTGTTTTCACGTCTGTATTTAAGACAGGCAATTGATCAAACTGCTAAAAGAATTATATTTAAGAAATCTAAGTATATTGCACTTGAGAATCGGTGTTGTGATTTACAGTTAAATTTCAGGTGCATATATAATTTTATGGGTCATTAATTTCAGCATTTAATAATTTCATTTATCAAACAATATCCACCACGATGAAAAATTTAATTGAAAACTTACTATTAATTCAAAATAACAAAGTTGAATTTTTGATGAATATGAAAAGTTTAAGAGATTTTGTGGTATCAAGTTGTGATTGATAAAACAGCAACATTGATAGTGAAAAACTTCAATTGAAAACGAGTAGAAAAGAAAATCATTGCAAAATCTGCAATCGCCAATCAAATTTACATCACGCTAATTTCTTATAAAAATACACTTGGAAGTTAGATTTTCCGCTTATAACATTCATATTTTAAGGATTCAACACTTTAAAATGCATTAAACTTTATAAATTTCGCTTTATTTCATAGCCATAAAGTGAAAAAGTCCAAGTATAGATATGTTCTAAAGTATTATAACAGTGCTATATTAATATTCTATAAAGCAATATTTAAACAAAAAATAATAAATGCTATGCAATATTTAACAAATATTCTACGAGTAATATATTACATTTCTACGGAGGTCGAGAGAAAAATTTAAATAGCTAAGCAAAAATGCTTCGGGAATTTAAAACAGTTTTTTGTAATAACGTTGCGTGACAAAGCTGTAAGATGATTGTATTAAGCTATTGGAAACTGTTTTATGCAACTTCTGAAGCGAGCTTAGTTGCTAAAATCCCTTCCTAATTCAGCGCTCTTTCCAGTTACTCTTGAAAATGCGAAATAAAATAAAGGTGTATTTCAAAAGGTTGAAAGTCAAAAATTGGCATTATGGTATGAATAATATTTAAGTCACTTATTTGGTAGTTACTCTGAACCACTAATGAATCTAATTTTGATACAAATATGTTTAGCTCGTACCTGTTTTGATGTTTAACCTTTCAAGTTTCGGATGTTTAAGAGGCGTACAACTGTCTACATATTGTTTACACGTTTTAGAACTCTTTCAGCATTAACACGTTTGTGTCGAAATACTTATGTTAGAACAAAGCTATGTATAAATCTAATATATATTCCAAGTCGCACTTTCGAGACATGAAAAACTCAATTTGAATTTTGTCAATCGGCCCAGTAGAACGGGAGATATAGAACTCCCTTTTTTGTGCAGTGTACATCTAAAAATAAAGCCATCTTGCGACATCTATGAAGTAACTAAGAACTACATGCTAATAACACGAAAGGTCACTAAATTCATATTTTCAGTTGAAAACGAGATGGGTGCCTGTGAAAAGTAATTATTGGCAAATAACAATATTATGCAGTAAGGTTCGATTGCTTCAGCTGATTATGACAAAGCACAGTAGGGCCATCTACCTAAGGAAGGAGATGCGCCTTCGTGGATGACTTTCTAAAGGAAAACTGGTTCGTATACGCGTTTACACAGGGAAAACCCACGAAAAATGACCATGCAGCCAACCCGTTTCCAGGAATCGAGCCGCGGTCGAAGATATAGTTCAGCGATTTTACCGCCCGGTCATTAGTGGCCATAAATCTGCAGTTTGAAAACCATAACTTGTGCACAATACAGTACCTTCCGTTTAAAATCAGTTATTCATTAGATTTGTCAAATACTATGAATAATATGCCGTTGATGAGTACTCCATTATGAGATTTAATATATAGGGAGAACTTTCCTAGCAACCACTTCCGTCAGACGACCATCAATGACAGATTAGTTCCGACAGCATTGATCCTTAAAGCAACTTTAGCTCTTGGACGATCTCTTCCACTTAAAACCCGAAACAAAAATTTTTCGTGATCGTCTGAGTTAATTTTTTAACTACGTCTCAACAGCTTCTCATTTCTCAATATTTCTTGTAAATAACATTTTAATGTCTAAGATGCCAGTCTAGAAACGACCATATTACAGCACTGAAAGCTTGAGTCATTTTGTAATGCTAATGCATCAAAATTGCCGAATAGGGCCATCATTCTAAACGAAATTTCAGTTTTCAGGACATTTAATTAAACGAAGTTGTTTGTTTTCAATTTCTTCAGCTTTATGCTGAAGATGAATGTAAATGTGTTATCGTAATAAACTCAACGTTTACGGAATGTTTCAAATGAGACCAGCAGTTAGGACTGCAGAATTTCCAGTTTCTTAAACGGAACAAGAAAATACCGAGACAGTTAAAAAATATGAATGAAAACTTATTTTCTAGTAACGAATTCATCATTTAACGAGGTTGGAAATAAAGGAAATGATTTTAATAATTCGCTTAAGCCAAGGTTTTGAAAGTACTTTGGAGTACGGAAGTTGGGGAACTATTTTAAGAGAAATATATACTCTAAATCTGCTTTGAGATTAAGAAATTGAAAAGCTCGGCATGAGGTCATGCACAAACAAATTAATGCTTCCATGGAAAAGTGCCAACAAGGAAAGTAGTTTTTCCGCAATTGAAAGTATGTCAGCCACTGCTTCAGGCAAAATGCAGGCAGCAACATCAATGCTGCTTCGGCTAAACTAGTTTTCAGGAAAGTAGACTTTCACAAGAGTGAACGGGTGTAAATATATTTTGGACGTAAATAAATTGTCGTGGAACGTGAAACTTTAGTTCCATTTTGAAATGGACAGAATATGTTACATATACAGTTGAAAGGGTGATAGCAGGAAACATGAAAGCCGTTTAGTTTTCATTCTCATCTGGTAACACCCTAGATTATAAATGACAAACAGAATTTGATATAGTTCAAGCTTTTATAGCCTAGTTACTGTGCATAATAGATAATTTCCGAAACTTAATTACGTATTTTCACGTGAAGTACATTATGGCTTATTGAGAAGTAGACAACTTTTGCGAAAGACTGTCCATTCCAGAGCTTAAAATGTTCCAAATGCTTTGTTAACCACAAAATAAATTTAAAGCAAACTATTAGCGCCACAGTAAAAAAAAATTAAGCATAAACTTTTTCACATAGAATAAAGTGAAAAAAGGTTATTACTTCCATTTTTGGATGAAATTAGTCAATTAAAGATTCTTAGCATCAAACTTTAGATAAAATGAGACTAACTGATAATACTACCAATTTAATTGAAACTTTACTTAATTTGCGAAAGACGTTCTAATTTAAAGATTTTTCCTTTGAGTATTATAGTGATGTTCTTGAGTTGGAGAGTTTAAGAAAACTACTTTTTAAAACCGTAGTTTCGCTCAGAGTCGCTATGAAAAACAATTTATATACAAGGTCAACAAAACTTCTCTCATCATAGAGATAAGTGATCTATGATGAGCGACATTTCCATACAGTGTACAGAAAACTACGATTTATTTTATTAAATGATCCGAATTCTGCTCTTCAAATTACTTTGCAATTGATTTATTTATAACGCCTGCTGCTTTATGCATTAAAAGTAGAGCTAATTATTGTTAATTATCATTGTTAACTCTGAAATTATGTTACCTTAAATCTGCCGAATCCAGATCATGCATAAGAAAGCCAGAACAAAGCATCGAAAATTGTATAGTTTACCTTAAATATGTACAGAGTGCGGTTTCTACCTCATCCTGTGCATCAAAAATAACATTGGACTGGATAGATAACGTTACAATTTACGCTATTTAAATTTAATACAATGCGGGCACATGCTGTAAGTTAAGAGCTACAGTTCGATTAGCAGTTTTACTACATTTATATTATTTGTGTGGAAGAATTACGAAATGGTTTAATTTAGACAAAGTACACCAAGGCCACCCGTCTAATTTCCATCCTTATTTTGACATTGGTGGATCCCGAGAAAATTGAATCCGAAACTTCAGAATGAAACTACTAATGAGTATCGTAATACTAAGCTAATGGCTATATATGGAGACTAGTTGTAGTTATAGTTAACCTTATTAACATTTACTTTAGCTCTGAGGGGGTCTTAAAACACCGAAAGTTCTGTTGAGAGGTTGATGATTGGGGAAACGTTGGGAGACTCAGGTCACGCTGGTTATTTTTTTTTCAAACATGGGCCGGAGCTTCCCTTTCCTCATGTATTTTAGCAGCCTCCTGTGATGAATTCTGGGTAATGTTCTCATTAATAACACTACTAAATGACCCATAGGTCAGCAATTTCTGATGAATTAGCTGGAAGTAAAAAAATCTGCTTTATCGTATGAAAAATTTAAATGACTTACTCTAAAAAGTCTTTCCTTTTGAAACCAAACATCATCTTCCTCTTCATGGCTAAAGTCTGTGTTCAATCCGTCTCGAGACCTTGACAAAATCTTTCTTCGACTAACCATGGTGTGTGTCAAATTAGCTCTAGAAAAGGAAAAAACAAAAGCTTCAGAATTCAATATTTGAATTAAGTTTTGAATAAGTTTTCAGGATTATTGTACGCAGTCTAGGGAACATTCTTTAACGCATTTAGATCTGTAAACTACTAGGGAAAGAAAACTAATCAGATTTTAGTTTGTGAAATAGCCGCCCACACGGGAAAGTGGTTAGTGACCGACTGCCGTACCGAAAAGCCGGGGTTCGAATCCCGAAGAAGGCACGGATACTTTGTTAGTCCCTTCATAGGAGGCAACGATTGCCTACCTATTAGGAGCTTCCTCTTCCAGCCTTAGTAGTGGCCAACGCCTATAAACGGCTAGGGCCCGCCATAAAAAAGTTTGCGAAATGAGTAATTTATGCGTACGGGCTCGTAATGGACTGAATGCAGAGAGAACAGATAGCTATAGCTTGATAAAATTTATTTCACCTAAGGAAACACTTCACAGTTCTGGAAGTTTACACTACAAATACTCGTACAGCTCTTCACTATAATCGAGCACAATCAGTAGTTAACATTTCGTACTAATAAGAAAGTTAAACGCAACACAATAAAAATCGCATCTAAAAGGCGAAGCTCTGACGGATCTCTCAATATTCCGAATTCAGCTCTGAACAAAAACTCAAGAGCATATGATCTCCGTGGTATAGCTTTTCACTTAGCCGCCAAGAAATCACTATAGTATCTTATTCCACTTCCCGAAATTACTGGAAAGTATACGAAGGCCGGATGTGATCAATTATAGTTTTTAAATTACTATACCCATTACAATTATACAGGGACCGTACCACAGTGTCCCCTAATGGGCGCCAAAGCCCCCCCCCCGAAGTTTAGAGTTTAGCGAGATAACCATTTACTCAATGTTAGGCTGGCCCCTGTATTCTTATTTTTTCTGCAGAGCATCTTTCCCTTCCTGACATTTCATATTGCAGTACACAACAAATACAATTTCACAAACTTAATTAACAAATTATTTACATATGTACAAAATTCGTAGCATTATGTTAAGGCAAAGCACTATGGTAATCAGCCGTGAGACTTGTCTTCTTGGATACATTGTCCTCTGATATAGTACGTTGCTAAGAAAAAAGATTTACAGTTCATTTACCCTTCACAGCAATAAAATGTTAATAACCTTGTGTGGCATATATCTGAGGATAATGCAACAAATTTTATTGTTTCCATGCAACAGTAACAAGTTACCAAGTCTAGTCCGCTTTTGATTCGAGAAGCGAATGTTGGGAAGTTCAGATTTGTTCGTTACTGGAGAATACGGGATGTAACCACTTAAGTCTTTTTTGAAAAGTATCTAGGATTTTATGGCCTCTTCGATTAAATAATGAAATCGAAGGAACTAACTAATCAGTTATGTTAAAAGCTTATTAGGGCTGATTCCTTTGATTTTGAAGCAAAGTAAAAAGCTACGAAATAGAATAGCACGCTGACCGAGTTTCTTTTGCCTTGAAACTACACGCACTAGGAAAAACGTTAGATCGCAAAGTAATAAAACAGGATCAGTGGTTGTATATTGAAGTGACTAAAACAGCAACAAAAGTAAATGACAGGTTCCTTAACTGTTCAAGGCAAAGAAACGCATGAAAATGCGCAAGATCGGCCCGCTCGGGCTTTCCCAGGATTTTCTCGAAAAGTTCTTTCAAACTTGAACTGTCAATATTTCTGAAAAAAGGATATCAACCAGGCCATTTAAAAATAACACCATTAAGAAAGCTGGTTACTAAAACTCTTCATGCCACCAATTAAAATTTAGTCCACCTTTTTTCCAGTCTCGAGTATTTCTCAGAGCCACTAGATAATCGAATTCTGGGAGCATAAAATGAATGCATCGCTTCAGAATATTAATTTGTACGTATTTACTGATGCACGTGTCCGATTCGTTTATTTTGTTGAATATGGTTTGGAACATTGTTTTCACTCGGTGCTTTATAAAACTTCCGTGAGCTGTACAAGTCTGTTGGAATGAACTATAATACTACTTAAAAACGGGAAAGGCGTTCAAATTCTGAAAAATCAACTTAATATGATCTTACTACAGATTGAAGCTGTGAAAGCAATATACTTTTGATACAATGATAACCGATTTTGGATTAAGTGCATCAGGGAAGGCTTAATTTTTATCATTTCATGATCAAATTAGTGTTTTATTTTGCAGTAGCGAATTAAAATCCCGATACTGCCATTTTTCTTTAATGATTACAGTTTATGTACCACAAGCTAATAGATTTGTTTGCTGTTATACAACCATGAATTACCGATTACCTTTTACGTAGGTAATAAACAGTTCGGCAATATTGCTTCAAAGTATATTAGATGAACCAGCACACAGTTTTGATAAAATGAGTTATATCTACCAAGCAGGTTATAATTCGTGAAACAGTTAAACGATTTTGTTTATTCAGATGAATACGCTAAACTGAGGGTTAATAAGTGATTTTTCTTGGGGGGGGGGCTACGAGTACGTCTAAACACCTTAGAAATTTAACGGGAGTAATTTTAAAACGTTCAAATTTTTGCTAAATCCAAAACTTATTTTAACAAATTAACTTATTCCTACGAGACATTTGTATTTTTCTGTACAAGGCAACATGAAAATCCAGAAGCGAAGCGCGCTTGAAGAGTAATTATACAGAAGCAAATCTATTTAACATTGAATAAATAGTTCTCGCCAAATTTGGTGAAATATTTTTAGTAGTAGTTTGAAATGTACTTACCGATTGTAAATAAGATATTGTGAAGGGTTGCAAGATTGTTTTTGTGAAAGCTCCAGACCTGTAAAGTGTCACTTGATTAAAATAAATTTTATCGAAGTAGCTTCGGCCCTGTGAGCATCGTCTTTACGAATCCATACGCATTATGGATATTAATATACATTATACAAGTATTATGGATATTAACGAAATTCATTTATACTTTTTAAGCCTTTAGCATATGTATTAAATTCATGGGTTTTTGAAAAGATGATATCTGGCGAGATAATAAAAGGAAGCAAATGAATAGGAAAGATTTAAAACGGCCTACTGAAAGTTGCATTGAACTGTATAAGAAGTAATCACTTTGGGAAAAACGTGTCCATCGACAGACTGATAATTTGTTCAGATTTAAACCACAGATATTTCCTCGGGAGAATGGAAGAAACTATAGGAAAAGTTGAAAATGTGGAAACATTACTGTGACTATGCGGCGCTGATCCGAGACTTTTCAAAATGTGAAATCTTAAAAACTTTGATCAAAGTTTCATACTTAACGACTTTTCTAGGTTAAAGAAATTCAGCTGTTAACCAACATTTATATTTTAAATGTGCAGAATCACCTCGGATTCTGAAGATTCCTTCGATAATTCATTGTGGGAGGCCTGAATATAAGTACGGAAAGACTTAATTTGGTTCTACTGTAACCAGACAACCTGTAATTATATTCAAGATGAGAAATATAGCTACTGAAATACAATTTTTCCTTCATACAAGTGTTATGGAATTCCCCCTTCAGTAAAATAATCATTCTCACCGAATGTCTGAGCGGACAAGAAAAACGAACACTGGTAACTCCGACCAGGTTTTAAATTCTGGCTGAATGAGTTCTCTACGGGTAATGTAAATACGAATTTAGTGTGCCTTCATAGAGAACTTTCTAAAACCCATTTCCCCAAAAGGTAGGTAGTCCTTGTGCGCTTTGCCATATACAGTTAAATACTTGCAAATAACTACAGCTTAAAATGCTAGTCTTGCAGCTTTAATCTGGCGGCTTAAAATACTAGCTCTGGTATACTTAAAAATCCAAGTTCAGATTTAAAGCTATGATTTTAGCTCACATGAGAGTTTTCAAAGAAAATAAGGAAATGTTAAGTCTCGCATAGTGACACTATGATTAATGGATTTTAATTAGTAAACCGTTATATTCGAAATACACGAAAAGGTTAAAATAAACATTCTGCATGCGCTTCGAATAAGATTGCGACAAGTAATAAAACTAGGCCACACGACGATTCATATTCAACATCGATAGATGTTGAATTATGAATCTAGTTCAGTCGCGTGGGAATGCATTCTTGCTTCGAGGCTGCTAAAGTTCAATTAAGCAGTGAAAACTGCTTGAAGGTTTTTTTGCTATAGAACGATAAGGGAATTGCCATTTAGTTTATATAAAGAGAAACGCAAGACTCGATTTGCACTAAAGACCAATATTGCAGAAAATTTTAATCTTTTCAAATAAATAACGTATTTAAAAATAAACTGCTTTTTACACAATGGATTTCAGTCCAAAAGTGTTAACTTGTAATCAGCCTTTACATATGACAGACTGCAGTTCATAAATACCGATTATAAAATTAACATTATTAAGCTTAAAGAAGCCCATGAAAGAATGTTCTCAGAAACCCTTTGAACTGTAACAAAAAGATTCAAAAGAATAAGTTGGATGCGGCAGAGCTAAAACAAACTCGTTCTCTTCCATTTAAAGTTAGTTAAGAGGCAATTTCAGTGCAAAACAGATTCACTAGTAAATACAAAGGAACTAAATTAACTTCATACGATATCGAGGAGACTATATTCAAAAGTCCGTACCATGTTTCATGAAAATTTTAGACCAGAGTAAAATGGAGTTCAATATTTTTAAAGAGAACATGCCTGATTATAAGTATAAATATACATGTTAAAGATTACCAAGTTTTGCATGACCGAGCGAAATAAAACATTTTAAAGCTATCAACGGAGAAAGTTGGTAAATCTATGTTACAACTTTACAGTTGCCCGTTTAATCCCGTATTATGATTAGTAAATTAGCCAACTTTACACAAGTATTAGAATGCAGGAAAGCACGAAATTAAAATTATGGCCAATTGTTTTCAACAGAGACCAACTCTTGTCAAGTTAACAGCAGGGAACGCTGGCTGTTAAATCCAAGTTGTAATCTCGGAAAATGTTCATGGAATTTTTATTGCTTTCTACAAATGAAATGTGAATGAATTAATTTC